ATTAGGATCCCATATAAAATCTTTTGGAAAACTATTTCAAATAAGTTAGAAATCTCTCTTATGCACAGCAGGAGCATAAGGTTTGCATACACAGCACACCAGAAGAAAATAGGGGTGAAACGGCAATTTAAGGCAAACTGAGCCACATGTCGTGGCATGTGGTACAAGTGCTGCGGCATGTGGTATAAAGCCACCACTTCTCATTCTGTGACATACGCTATGACATGTGCACCCTGTGTCATGGCGCACATATCAAATTTTGCTGTTAAATAACACTTTTGACATGAATTTCCAAAGTGTGTCGCTTTCTCATATGATGTCTAATCAAGGTGATTCAAGTGTCCACACGAAACTTATTTCAAAATCTAGCTAATGACATTAGTATTGTTTAAATCTAATGTTTTGTTTGAATATTGGACATTCGGATGCAAAATAATGATTTAAAACCATTTTCAATCACCCGAGCACCTATAAAGTCATGCTTTTCACCTCAAACTTTACTTGCACCAATCACATATCAGAATACAAATACAACCAATAAATGTTGTATTACCTCAACTCAGTGGTACCAATGTTTCCCACTTCTTCGCTTGGTAGGAGAGGATGTGGGATCGAACCTAGAAGGGTACGTGACACGCCATGTCCCTTGGTAATTTGATTATTAGGAAGGCTTTGGTATGACTGTACTACTAGCATACCATGTCCTAAGTAAATTGAACTCAAGAGGGTCCTACTCTCTGCCCCACTAGGGACACTTGGGGGGGCAAACTTTAAGAAGAGGAAGGGTAAACAAGTACTAAGTCATAGTACTAACAAACATGTGGCAATGACCAAATCCACAATATCAATGCACACTGCCACAATACAGACAACTAGGTGATAATGGCACAATAACTATCATGACTTGCCACAAACTTATCAACCATATGACACATCGAATACACATATATGCATGATCAACACCTCCTTATACCCTCCTTATTTCCTTCGACTAAATTGTGAGCTATAATATCTATCAGGGCTCCATTCGTGTGACAGGACTACCCAAACTCACTAATTGTTAGGAATGACCAGGTCAAAGATCACTGTACTCACTCTTGGACTACTGCTTCTCCCATTCTTGAATCTCTGGGGTATCATATACCCCAAGCTAGTTTCCTTAACAAACAAGTAGAGATAACTAAGTTTAAGTCCCTTGACAAACTATAAGATAGTCTCTCGATAAACATTGGGCCAAGGTTAACTTTCATGCATCAAAAAGCGGGTATAAAATACCATATGAATTTTCTACTCCTATTCCTTGGTGAACTCCCACCAAATGATCATGCAATGCCTCATGCTTTCATACATATTTTCACATACTTGCAATTTATAATTAACAAGCTTATCATTTTCAATTACAACATCAATTGAAACATATGAGCAATATAATTACTTCCATAAATATCCATCTTTCAAAACTCACCCATATGCACAAATTTTTCACTTTACTCAATCATCACATTCACACATTTATTAAACAACTTGTAAACTACTCATTTCCACACACATACTTGTAATATACACCCATTTCAAGTTTCAACTCCATTTCAAGTTTTAACTCCACAATTATAGCTAAATTAAAGTTAATGAAAACCTTGCACAAGTATAGCATGTGTTTACAAACACTATTTCAATCATTCATGTAACTAACTTCATTTTCAAATTTACATTTTAATTAACATACAACTACACAAGCATGGTTTTTCTCAGTTATTTCAAACCTTTGAGAGGTCAAATATTTACCCCTCAATGTATGTTTTTAAGCTTTCTCTTCAAGCCTAATATGGTGCTTGAACATTTAATTTACAATTAATCAAGTTCAAATTCAATAATGTTGTCAAATACACCCCATCCAACTCTGAATTTTCATTTATAAAATACCCAAAGTCCTTATTTGTCACATTTAGACTTACCTATTGGGTATATCAATTCTCTTTAGCTCTCATTAGGTTCATTAAACTCTCCTATTGTCATTAATGACTTCTTAACCAAGTCTAACAATAATAATAAATAGCATTTCAGCCATTAATGCACCCATAACCACCAAAACATGAAAACCCATTATTCTCAAGTTTAAAGCCTTAAACAACCCCCATTAACTCTATTTGAGTCAATGGGTTCGAACCTATAATCTATAAGGATCGAAAATCAACTCTTACTTACAAACCCTAGTTTAAAACTAGTGTAGAGAGGAAAAGGAAGGATAGGAAAGACTTAGCTTAGTGATTGAGAGCTTCAAACCCTCTCAAATCATTCACAATGTTATGCCCTAGCTGAGTTTAAGCTCTCCTCTTATCCTTCTCTCACTTTCTCTTTTCTTTCCTCTATTTTTTGTTTGTTTGATGCATGACTTAACATTGCAAAAAATGAGCCATGTGCCATGATGCACATCACACACACTGTGGCATGTGGTACAGGGAGGCTCCTTCTTGTTCTTTTAGCTCCACGCGCTATGGCACACCACGAACGCGTCGCAGCATGTGGCACAGAGACTCTCTTCCTTGTTTTTCTCCACTTTTGATACCCAAGTGACCTAATTTCACTTTAGGCTTAACTTAATGGCTGAAAACACAACTAAAATGCTTATTAGTCCTCTTTTACCACACACCACATAAGTCTATTTAATTACCTATAATTAAGGTAATTATTAAGGGTTAATTTTCTAGCATGTTACACTCATCATTTTTTAATATTTTTTATAATTTTAAAAAACATCCCTCTCTCTTCTTACTCTCTCCCTATTCTCCCTCTATTTTCTCTCTCTCTCTCCCCCTCCCTCCCTCCCTCCTCTTCATTCCCTCTCTCATTTGCTCATTTTTGGATTGAAGCAAGTGAAGTAGCGACAACAGAGCACCCAGCATGCTGATTGTAGTCTTGTTATTGTTGTGAATGGCCAAGTCAAAGAGTGCACCAGAAGGATGTTCTTGCAATGGTTAGTGGAGTTTTAGCACCATTTTGGCAATGGCAGATTTGAGGGTAGGGTTAGGAATTACAGTAGAAAAATTAAACTTGGAGCTATCAAAGAGTTGTGGCATGAAGTTTAAATTTTTACAAGCTTGAATATAGACTCAATCAAAGGTGTGACCTAAGCTCTGAGGAGACCTACTAAAAATATAAAAAAATGGTGGGACACACTAAAAATATTAAAAATTTTAAAAGTGAGCCCCATAAAAGGTGAAATTTGCCGGAATAGACGATAGAGTGATGGAATCGAAAATCTTAGTAGTTGAAGGATATAAATTACCTTTTCTTGACTTTAATGGTTTTAGACCCTTGACCTATAAAAAAAATAGTGGGACCTAATAAAAATATTAAAAAATTCAAATGTAGGCCCCATTAACGGTGAAATTTGATCGAATAGATGGCGGGATTATGGAATTAAAAAGGAAAAACATACCTTTTGGTCTCTATAGTTTGCTCGTGTTTTGTTATAAGTCATTGCACTTTTTTTGATGTTTTGGATCCCTATACTTTCATTTTTCGGTGTTCTAGGTCCCTAAATGAACAAAATGAACAAAGTGTAAGGGCCTTGGATGAACGTAAAACACCGAAAAATAAAAGTGCAAGAACCCAAAATACTGAAAAAAAATGCATGGACGTATAGCAAAACACGAGCAAAGTGCAGAGAACAAAAGGTATGCTTTTCCAATTAAAAATCTTAACAGTTGATTGATATAAATGACCCTTTCTTGACTTTAAGGGTGATTTTGAACCTTTCCGCTTAGTTGAAGGGCATTTTAGACTCCTAACTCTAGTTTTTGAGATTCTTTTCTTTTATTTCCTAGTAAACTAATAGTTAAAATTCACTTTTGTTAAAGGAAAGGGTCAAATTGTACTATTTTTAAAAATTGAAGGGAACATTGGATAAAAGATGAGTTTAGATTCCAAATAGTTTAAGAGCCAATTTGTTCATTTACTTAAATATATATAAAAAACTTTATGTTTATTTTTATCATTATATATTTCAATTGATTTTTGAATTAACCTATCTAAAGGAATTTCAATTTGTTACTTCCAAACCAAAAAAAGAAATTCAAACATACATCACATTAATTTTTTCTTGGGACCAGCAACATAAATCACTTTTTTTTTACCAGCAACATCATAAATCATGTTACAATAACAATTTTTATCATGCCCGCGCTCCCAGTTTGCTCAAATTTAGAGTTGATAAACGGGTAGGCCTAGCCCATATGGGCTCGGCCCTTATGGGCCTAGGCCCTAAAGCCTGGTTACCCCAATTTTACCTTAAAATTGAAGCCCGACCCTTATTCATAGGGCTTAGGGCCGGGCCTGTAAGCCCGGATAAGAATAAAATAAAATAGAATAAAATTTAACATTAAAATTTATTTAAAATATTTTAAAATTTAACATATATCAAACTAAAGTCTCACATAATATAAAAAATGAACAAAAAATTTAAAAGTCCAAATAAGATGAAGGCAAATAACATTATCGATCCTAATCAAGATCTCCCTCATTATCATCCATAAATAAAATATTAAAACCCTCAGATATAGGTTCACTTGTGAAAGATGGAGGCGGAGGCTCAATATTAATTATTTCTGCAGCTTCTTCATCATCACCTACAATAATTATTAATTAAATTATTTTATTATCAAATATATATCTATACATATATCACAAGATAAAATATAAAAATTACTATAAAATAACACAAAATAATTCAACCAATTGTTAGTACAAAATATAAATTAATGTTTGCACATTATCTGGAAAGAGGTAAAAACAATATTTTGTGAATAGTAAAACGAGCTTCACGAGCTGTCGGGTCCGAGCCCGTTTTTTTAAGGTTTAAAAGGGCCGGACTTGAAAGTTCAATTACCCTTAAAAATATTAAATTTTTAAATCCAAACCCTTATTAAAACGGATTTAATCGGGCGGGCCGAATTTCCGACTTTTCCGACTTTACTCAAATTCTAATTCTAAGTGTAGCTGGGCATATTTTAATCGAAACACGCGCTCGGCAGCGCCCTGGCCTGTCGACTCCTCAGTTCACACCACACTAGTCAGTCCTCCCTCCCCTGTCTCCCTCTCCTCAGACTTCAGACCACGGCAACCCTCTCGGAGAACTCATTCCTCAGCATCCTCAATCGTCCGTCTCCGTCGTCCATCACGGTGTTCGTGCTTCTCGGTTCTCCAGTCCTTTTTCGGCGTCCCTGGTACTTCAGTCCTTTCCTCATTCAAACTTCGAAAGGTATTCACTTGAGTTTTCATTTTTGCTCCAGTCTGCCCCTGGTAGGCGACTGCTGGTCGCTGGCTGTTGCTTTTGTTTGATATGATTCTTTTTTTTTTTGTGGGTTCTTTCTTAATTTCTTTCTTTCTTGTTGGCTGAAGCACGAACACGGGCTATTTGAGAATATGAGAAATATATACTTGTTGCTGTGTAACATAGCTGCTATTGAGTAGGGAATGGAAAATTGAGTAGTCCAATGACTATGAGTTTTTCCTTCTCGACATGTGCATCTGTTTGTGGTTTTGGTTTTCATTGGTATGAAAAGCTAAAGAATCTTGGGCTGGTGATCAGAACTACTTTAAACTTGACACTTGTGTGCTGATTTATGCGCCGTGGTAGTCCTGCTACCAACCTTGCAATTGGTTTGCACGAGGGAAGAGCGAAAATGTCACACCCTGTGCATCCCCTCAAGATTGCACTGCAAGGGTTCGATAAAATGCTTAAAAGAGATGTTGAAGTTTAAAATTTATCCCCAGATATCTATAAATGTAGCTTTCCGCTTTCCCTCTTATTTTTTGATTGACCGATCCGAACATGTATGGTGGCTGTCTGATGAAACTTTTGACTTCACTGATGTGGCACTGGAAATATTCATATCCTATGCCTGTTCCCATATTCATCTTAGGGCCCTTTTGGTGCAAATTGGAAATGGTCAAGGGAATGATGGGAAAGTTCTCTCCTAAAAACATAGGAATCTGTCTTTCCAACAAAATCACTTTGCCAATTAAAAAAACAATAAAAATACTTTCCATCACCTCTTCCCTTTTTTCCTAATAACTTTTCTGTGCACCAAATGGACCATTGGTCTCTCAGTTTAGTGATACTGGCAATATATTCTGCGTTAGTTTGATTAGGATTCTGCTTGTGTAGTGTGATGAAATTCAAGTTAAATACACTAGCACACCTTTGCGTTATGATTCAGTTCTGGAAAAGGTAAAGTGAAATTTGGGTTGAAAGGCTGTATGCCTGCAAGAAAAGTCAAGTATAATATGGCATGGTCTCTATTATTGTTATGTGCATATTTTTTTCCCCCATTTTTGTAGTTGGGATTGTTTCAATCAGAGAATTCCATGCTCATTTTACTTCTCTTATATACATGCAATAGAATCAGTTTTGAATACTCCTTCCCTGCAGATGCAATGCAGAGAGATAAGCAGTTAGTAAAGGGGTTTACTTATCCATAACTACAGCCATTTTTACTTGCAAAAAATCCTTCAAGTTATGTGCACACTCTCAATCCCTGACACTTCATTCCTTCTGGGTTTGTGCCCATCCTCTACATGCTCTTCAATTTTCAAATCCACAAGTAGTTGCAACACTTGTACTATATTCTCCAAGAAAACTCAGAGAAAAAGGCATACGACACAGAGGCTTGCACATATAACTGTAGCAGCAGCTTCTTTGATAGCCAAAGATGTTTGGAAGAGATCATCACCATCTTCTTCCTCATCCAGTAGACAAGGTCATACTAGAAATCAAGAACCTGTTTATTTGGACCATAGTGTGGACATGGATGAGTTGCTGGCATCAATTGGGCAGACCCAAAATGAGCAAGAACTGTATGCTTTAATGTCACACTACAGTGGCAGGCAACTTTCCATTCGGTTTATGGTTTCTCTCCTTTCACGGGAGCCTGATTGGCAACGCTCACTCGCTATTTTGGATTGGATTAATGACAAGGCTCTTTACACTGCTTCTGTGTTTGCTTACAATGTTGTGCTGCGTAACGTGCTTCGAGCGAAGCAGTGGGGGCTTGCACATGGCCTATTCAATGAAATGCGTCAAAAAGGGCTGGCCCCTGATAGGTACACTTACTCTACACTAATAACTTGTTTTGGGAAAGAAGGTATGTTTGATTCTGCTTTGTTTTGGCTCCAGCAGATGGAGCAAGACAAAGTTTCTGGTGACCTTGTCCTGTATAGCAATTTGATTGAGCTCTCACGTAAGTTATGTGACTATTCCAAGGCAATATCTATCTTTGTGAGATTAAAAAGGTCTGGTATCACTCCAGACATTGTTGCGTATAACTCAATGATCAACGTCTTTGGGAAAGCTAAGCTCTTCCAAGAAGCTCGTCTTCTTCTAAAAGAGATGAGGGAAGCTGGGGTTCGCCCTGATACAGTGAGCTACTCAACGCTTCTCACTATTTATGTTGAAAACCAAAAGTTTTTGGAAGCACTTTCTATTTTCTCTGAGATGAATGAGGTAAAGTGCCTCCTTGATCTGACAACATGCAATGTCATGATTGATGTTTATGGCCAGCTTGACATGGTGAAGGAAGCTGATAGGTTATTTTGGAGCATGAGGAAAATGGGGATTGAGCCCAGTGTTGTTAGTTACAATACCCTTTTAAGAGTATATGGAGAGGCTGAGTTATTTGGAGAAGCTATCCATCTATTTCGTTTGATGCAGAGGAAGGGTGTTGAACAGAATGTTGTCACCTACAATACTATGATTAAGATTTATGGAAAGTCTCTTGAGCATGAGAAGGCAACAAATCTTATTCAAGAAATGCAGACTAGAGGTATCGAACCAAATGCCATTACTTATTCAACGATAATATCTATCTGGGGTAAGGCAGGGAAATTGGATAGAGCGGCATTGTTGTTTCAAAAATTAAGGAGCTCAGGGGTTGAGATTGACCAGATTCTATACCAAACAATGATTGTGGCTTATGAGAGGGCAGGGTTAGTTGCTCATGCTAAGCGTCTGCTTTTGGAACTGAAACAACCAGACAATATTCCAAGAGAGACAGCAATCACGATTCTTGCTAGAGCTGGTAGAATTGAAGAGGCTACATGGGTTTTTCGCCAGGCTTTTGATGCTGGAGAAATAAAAGATATATCTGTATTTGGTTGCATGATTAATCTTTTCTCAAGGAACAAGAAGTATATAAATGTCATTGAAGTGTTTGAAAAGATGAGAGAGAAGGGATATTTTCCTGATTCAAATGTTATTGCTCTTGTGCTGAATGCTTTTGGAAAGCTGCGTGAATTTGAGAAGGCAGATATTTTATATGTAGAGATGCAAGAAGAAGGTTGTGTTTTTCCAGATGAAGTGCACTTCCAGATGCTCAGTCTTTATGGGGCAAGAAGGGATTTTTTGAAGGTAGAGTCACTGTTTGAGAAGCTGGATTCCAATCCCAATATCAACAAGAAGGAGTTGCATCTTGTTGTTGCCAGCATTTATGAAAGAGAAAATAAACTTAATGATGCTTCCCGGGTCATGAACAGGATGAATGAGAAAAGAAGTATGGATACTTGAACATGCTTAGAAATTTGCATCCACTTTTCCCTTGATGAAATGTCCATTATTCTTGAACATTCTTTACGTCTATAGTACTGTATTAAGTAAGCCTCTCCTTTTCCTACTAATGAGGCCATGTACCTATGAACCTCAGCAATGGCATAAGTTCAGTTTCAGCCAAAGAGCATCCGGGTAGTTACATCTTCATACCAAGATCTTACAAACATTCTTTGTTTGAATCGCATCCTTCCTTGTTTGTAAGCATTGTCCTTTTGTGTGTTTATATGTCTATGTCCATCATAAAGAGAAACACTTTAAAAGAATAGACACTTGCATGTCTAGTGCTGTAAATTCCTCCTTTGGGTACTAAAGAAAAAGATTATGCTGTATTTGTCCTGTTACTCGGGATTTTCTCATTGTAGGTGTTGACTTTTCTGTCATATTGCTTTTGTATGACAGGTAGGTCCTTACCTAGTTCTGGTATTGGACAAAGCGGAGCTCAAGCTCTCGAGTATGCTACTAGTATTGTTAGATATGCCAGTACAGACTATATGCATATATTTCTGACTGAGTGGTTTAATAATTTGTTTGTTTTAATTTCAATGCTTATGCTGGTTAAAATAAAAGATGTTTGTTAATTCTCAACTGTGTTTGGCCATTACAAGAAGTCAAGAAATTACATAACATTGTTTTGGGAGATAAACAAGGACATATTTCAGTACTTTAAGCTTGGCAAAAAGCCTAACATTACTGATAAGCCAGTAAATTTTGCAAAACTGTGGTTTTAAAGTTGCTAATTCTACCCTTAATACAATGGTTAACTTCTCAAACTATTGGCTTCTGTCAGAAGTTTGTGGAAGCAGTTTCTGTTTTCTCAGTGGTGAATGAAGAGGCTGAAACAATTGGAGATGACATCCATCTATCTGGTTTGATTCAAATGATTAAGATTTATAAGAATTCTCTCAAGCAAGAGAAGAGGACAAGTGTTATTCTAGAAATGTAGGATAACAGTACTGAACCAAATGTAGTATAGACTATAGAGTTGTAGCTAGGTCTTTACTAGAAACTCTATATTGATAGCCCCCCGGGAAAAAATTGAAAAAAAATCAGTTGAAACAGTTTTTTTTTTTTCTGTTCTCCCACAGACAAAATGAAAAAAAGAAGATGAACATGGTAGAATGCAAACAACAACAACAACAACAACAAGCCTTTATCCCACTAGGTGGGGTCGGCTACATGGATTGTAAGACGCCATTGTGCTCTATCATTTATCAAGCTTTTAGGAATATTATTAATTAAGAGATCACGTTCAACAACTTCCAAGAGTGTTCTCTTAGGCCATCCTTTACCTCTCTTAATCGGACTCAAAGTTATATGTTCCACTCTTCTCACTGGTGCCTCCCTTGGTCTTCTTTGTACATGCCCAAACCATCTCAACTGATTTTCTACCATTTTTTCCTCAATAGGTGCCACCCTCACTTTTTCGTGTACGTGCTCATTTCAAATTTTATCTTTACGTGTATGTCCGCACATCCATCGTAACATTCTCATCTCTGCTACTCCAACTTTATGCTCTTGTTTTCTCGTTAGAGCTCAGCATTCACTACTATATAACATTGCCGGTCTGATAGCAGTGGGATAAAACTTTCCTTGAAGTTTATTAGGCACCTTACGGTCGCAAATAATTCCTTTAGCTTTTCTCCAATTAAACCACCCAGCTTGAATTCTATGTGAAATATCTCCACTGATTTCGCCATCATTTTGAATAATGGCTCTCAAATATCTTAACTTTTCCACTTGAGGTATAATTTGATCTCCCAATTTCACTTCCAAATTATTGTCGAATAGTCCTTTACCAAATTTACAATATAAATATTCCGTCTTACTTCTACTCAGACGAAAATCTTTCGACTCCAATGTCCTCCTCTATAACTCAAGTTTGCAATTAACCTCCTCCATAACATGGTAGAATGCAAAAAAAGAAAAAAAAAAGCCTTTTGGCCCCACAAATGCCAGTTCATTACTTCATTTAGTGAACAGTACCCAACCATAGACCATCAATCAATCATTGTCAGTATTTCTAGAAAAGCTGTGATTTGGTTGAATAGTAATGGCTCAACTTAAGAGTACCTGCATGGATTTGGCTCAAATGAATATCATTATGGGCTCCGTGGTCTTTTGCAATTCCCTCTTTTATTTTAAATTTTGATGTGCAAATTGGATCTCTCTCAACTCCCCCCCCTTCCTTTTCTTTTTCAAATTTCAAAGTGGATGACCACCTTTTTGCTCCTTCCAATTTTCTTTCCTTTCTTATTTGCATATCATTTCAAATCTTTTGCGATTGTACTTTTATTCTATCCAGTATATTTCTCTTCCTTCCATTTTGCTTTCATCCTTTTTCTTCATCTTCTATTCTTTTCTTTTGGTTTCTTCTTCTATGGTTCATTTTCTCTAACCCAAATCCCTCTATCGCCACCTTCTCCTAATCGCCCCCTACCATCTGTCTTCTAGCCATCCCAATCAGATCTCACTTTGGTTGGCTGAACCACTCCAGTGACCCACCACAGTGATGCCAAACCAGTTAGTGATCCACTGCATCTGATTGTCACAACTTTGGTTTGATGTTCGTGAAGTTTGTTTGGAGTTTGTAGGTCTTTATTGGAGTCTCAACTCAATGCTGTTTGTGCTGCTGTAGTATGGTTAAAATGGAGGTGAGATTTTTTTGGTTCTTGGTCTGAACTTTTCGTCTGTGATTTTAGGTGGATTCTTATATAGCCTAAAGGGAAAAATCTGGACTGCTTGTATTTATTATTGGTGTTGTGGACTTGAAGAGTTTATCCTCTGGTTGGTCCAGAGATGCATGTTTCAGCTCGGCTGTAACTAATCAAGTAGTCAAGAACACGGTAAAGGAAGATATCATTAGTTTGGGAGTGGATTTTTGTTCTCAATTTGATTTCGTCCATTATGGATTTTTTTTTTTTGGAGTTTTTAGATGGTACTTGTGTTTCTTAACTTGTTGGTATGAGAATATTGCATTTTAGAATAAAAATGAAAATGATGAAGGATAGGAAAGGAAGAAAGAACACAGGAGAAAAAGTAGAGGAAGAAGAGGGAAAGAATTGAAGAAAAAGAATGTGTATAGAAGAAGGGATGCATTTGATGGCGACAATGCTCAATGCTCGAGAGGACCAGTTCATCTTCTGGATGGCAGCAACTAAAGGTGTTTAAATCCAAACTAAACCAATCACATCAAACCAAACCACTAGAATTGATCAAAACCAATCACTAATAAGGTTTGGTTTGGTTTTAGACATTTCCAAACTGATTGGCTTGGTTCAAGTTTCGGTTTTGAGCCTCTAAAACTTGAACCATACCTTTCTAAATTTTAATATGTTTCTTTGTAAGTTTACTTAGTATTAGTATTTAGAATTAATAAAACCCACTCCCATTTCAATCAAGCCTATATATATATATATATATATTTATATTTGGATAATGTGTCATATTTAAACTTCCACTTCTTCTTTTGTTTTTTTGTTTTTGGGGGTACAAACATCCATGTCTTTAATTCAACACAAATTTCAGTGAAATCTAACTCATGCTACTTTTAAATATATAATATATATTGACAATGAGATTTGAAATTTTTTATTTTTAACATAAGGATATGGGTAAACATAACTTTTGGTCCCTATACTTTACTCATATTTTGCCTTTGGTCCCTATATTTTTTTTTAGGTGTTTTAGGTTCCTACACTTTTATTTTCCATTATTTTCAATCCCTCTATGAGCAAAGTATAGGGACCTTGGAAAGGACCCAAAACAATGAAAACAAAAGAGTAGGGATCTAAAACATTGAAAAAAAAAAGTATAGGGATCAAAAGCAAAACGTGAGTAAAGTATAAAGAACAAAAGTTATGTTTACCCTAAGAATATTCATAGGTATTTATTACTGAAATTATTGTGATTTGAAGCTATGGCTGATTGGTTAACTTAGGAGAGTCGTATACCAAATTTAAAATATTTTGTTTTTTCAAAGACTAAATTCAAGAGATTAGTAATAAATTTTAATCAATTAAAAATTAAGTACCCAATTGAGAGGAAGCAGGAGAAAAGTATGCTGAGCCCTTATACATGATTTCAAAACTTGATCTACACTTGGGCCAAATCGAACCAAACCAACCTTATTGAAAAACCAATTGGTTTGGTTTGGTTTGGTACAAGTTTTGCCCAAAACTGAACCAAACCAAACCATTGAACAGTGAACACCCTTGGTAGCAACCAAGAAGAAAGGAAGGAAGAAGATATCCATATTGATGGTAGTGATAAAGTTGAACCTTCCTTATTTTCTGTCATATTCTAAATATAAGTTTTGATCTTTCTTCTTTGCTTCTTGTGTTGGTATCTTGGATTTACATCTTCGGGGCATTTTCATTCTGAAGCTACACTCTATTTATGTGCTGTCAAAACTCTATACTGACATTTGTCTATTTTCCCTTATTACCAATTGAGTTCTGTCAAAACTCTACTCATTTCTTATTTTCTCATCATGTCTTGTGTAAAAGCTTTTCCAACCATGGCAGTTGTTGGTGAAGATGGAAGTTGATCAGTTGTGAAACCAAAGTTACAGAATACATGTAAGCGCAGTTAGTAGTTTATGATTCAGTTTTTTTTGCCTTTCTCTGTGATTTACTGCTGCTTGTTGATTCAAAGGTCAAATCTGCTTTCCATTTATCAGATCTTATTTTTGGATTGGCAATATCATATACTTCGTTTTAAGCATGAGCATTTCTGAGATACTTCTTAACATTTGATCTTCTACTTTCTATTTCCATTATATTTGACAGCAGGAAAAGCCTAAGGAAAGTTGTATGAATTTTATACGCAGATTGGATATGAATCCTTTAGAAATGTATATTTCTTTGTAGGTGCTATTTCATTAGTAAATTACTCAAATACAACAAGGATATTATTTAATCTTGCAATTCTTGAAGTTGAGGAGTTCGTGTCAACTTCAATTGGACTTCTTCGATTGAAACTTACTGCTATCGGATTTTCCATTTTTATAATCTTGTATCAATATGCAGTTGATGTCCTGTAACTAAGATATGTATGGATTGGATGCCTTCTCTTGATATTAGTTGCTTACTATCATAAGATCTTCCTATTCTAATCCTTGATCAAGCAGATAGACTATCACAGCTTGGTTTTAGTGCTGAATTTCATTAGCTTTCAATTTACCTCATTTATCCATCCTGATGTCATTTTAAAATTCTTCCACCTATTACTTTTGACGCATTGTACTTGTGCCATCTCAAAATTACGTTTCTTCTTTTCAACTTTCAATGATTTTTTAATTTTTACGGTTCTTCAAAGCTTTCATTTAAGTGCCTTTCTATTTCTCTTCCCTACCATAAACTGGACTTTAAATGCATCTTGCCCCCTGCTTTTGATTCTGCCTTTGCTCTTTCTTCCGCTCATGTTTAATGAGCAACTTTTTGTAATTTTTTTTTTCGGGTAAGGCGGGGGCGGTGAGTTTACTATCTTATACACTTCACACGAGCTGTTTCAATTTATTTGTTGGTAATCATCACTTATTTTCAACTCCTGAAGTTATGAATCATTTGTTTAGTTCCCCTATGTTGTAGGACTAGGACGCAAAACAAGCAACATCTATAAGCAGAAGCAAATATTTATATTTTTCTGTAGTATTTTTAAAAGTTTTGCTTGGGTATTTCAGTTGATATTTTTAGTTTTTTAAAATTGAAAACCTTGTGTTTATGATCTCACCTTTCAAATATGATTGTTTATGATTCTGATTATAAACGCTTAACGTTGCTTAATGTTGAACAGATTGTTTATATACCTGATCGAGTGCGGTCTTTTAAAAATGGGTTGCCATTTAGAATCCAAGAGCAAAGACATAATGGGTCTCCAAAAGCTCTCATTAGAAGTGGATACAAAAATTCTTCCCACTTCGATTGTATTACTGCATTTGTGTGTTGGAGAAGCATTAATCAATTTCATCAGCTATCTTGGTGATCAATTATCTTGTTTTGTGCTTAGGATTCTTCAGTTTTGCACATAAAGCCAATGAAAAGTGTATATATAGTGGAAGACAATCAAACAAACTAAGATCACAATATGTTAAAAAACTATGGCAGCCATAAATAAAAACTATATCAAGCTTATATAATTAATTTTCTCCATCCCACAAATCTCCCAGTGAGGTTGTTGGTCCATTGTTCATGCGATGTTGCTTGATCTGGCTTATCTTTTGATGGTCACTTTCAGTGAGTGACCAATCAAATATTTCCAAGTTCTGTTTCATTCTCTCTTTGTTGTAACTCTTCACTACAAAACTCACTCCTTGCTCATAAGCCCATCTCAGAGATACCTTTTGCACCAAAAATGATGAATAATATTGATTAGCGTTAGTTTTCCCACAAAGAATAAAACTAATATTTTCAAGTGCACATGAAAAATGAAGGATTATAAAAAAAAAAAAATTAATCATTTCATCTTGTAGTTTTGACTTAATTGTAACGCAATTTTTAAATTTTGACTCATAATTAAGTCCTTATAGTTTTGCATATTGATTTAATTATAACTCAATTCTTGAATTTTGACTTGATGTAATTTAGTGCTTATAATTTTAGTAATTTAAAATATTAGTTCCTACCTTTTACAAAATAAAATTATAAATCTTCATAACAATTAAAATTTTTAATAATTTAAAATATTAGTCTCTAAATTTTAAAATAATTTTAATCCTTATAATTTTATTTTTTAAAATATAAAGACTAATATTTTAAATGGTTAAAATTATAAGAATTGAATTGCCTTGAGTCAAAATTTAAAAATTAAGTTATAATTGAATCAAAATTATAAGGCTCAAGTTTCAAGTTAAAGTTTAAATATTGAATTATAACTGAGTGTCATAATTACAGTGATGAAATGATTAATCTTCCCAAAAATCAATGAAGGAAACTGGAAATTAAACTGCAATAGAGTACCTGTGCAACAGATTTTCCATGAGCCTGGGCAATCTCTCTGAGTACTTCATTGTCCATAACTTCATTGGTACCCCAACTTGCTCCTTTGGCTCCCAAAGGAGAATATGCAGTGATGATTATGCCCTTTGCTTTGCAATATTCTCTTAGGTTCTTTTGTTGCCAAGAAGGATTCATCTCCACCTGTATCAATTGTAATTGAAATTCAATTACTGCCATTTGTTACATGGTGAGTGTTGATCTGATTTTAAATTATGGTTAAGACGTTTAGTGGGATGCTAAGCTTTATTACTTGTGATGATGTAAACTAGGAAAAATACCTCTCCAGGTCCCTGTACTCTAATGGTACTTTGTTTCTAGTCTCTGTAATTTATTTTCATTTTTGCTCATCTTTTCTTGATTAGTCTACAATGTTAGTCCATGAATTGACCCAAATAGTGTTTATTTTGCGAATATAGACTTAATATTATTAAATCATGTGATGATTTAGACTACTATCTGAAATTTGAATTGTGAACCATGTTAAGTCTATGTCAGCAAAATAAACACAGATTGCGCCAGATCATGGTCTTTATGGATATTTTTCAAACTGGGACTGAGATTACAGATGGATGAGAAAAAAAGGACGAGAAACAACGAAAATAAATTATAGGAATTAAAACAAAACATGATTAAAGTAAAGTATAAGGACTTGAAGTGATATTTTCCTACAAATTATAGCAACAATAAAGCTGCAAAGATGAGTCTTACTTGATTGAGAGTAGGAGGAACTGTAGCAAACGAGAGAAGATTTTGAAGCTTCTTGATAGTAAAATTGCTGACTCCAATAGATTTTGCGAGTCCCAATTTCTGACATTCCTCCAATGCTTTCCACACGCCCTTTAAATCGAAAGGCATTAGATCACTTTCATCAAATGTGAATCCCAACTTGCCAGGCTTAGAACTGATTGGCCAGTGGATCAAATACAGATCTAAATATTCCAAGTTGAGAGACCTGCATCAATTGAACACCCCAAATCAGAAGCTTGTTTCAGTATAACAGTATTTTGAAACTTTTAAAAACTTGTAAATTGATCTCACCGAAGTGATTGCTTTAAAGCAGGAAGAACATGATGAGGATGATTATCAGTGCACCAAAGCTTGGAAGTGATGAAGAGCTCATCTCTTGACTTAATAAGGCCAAGTTGAAGTGCTTCAGCTATGGCTTCTCCAAGAGACGCCTCTGATCCATACACTGAGGCTGTATCAAAGTGTCTGTATCCAAGTTTGATAGCCTCTATCACTGCCTCTTTGGTGGAGTCCTTTCCTTCAGACTCGGAGGCCGTGCCGAGGCCGATCACTGGCAGGCTACGGTTGTCGGAAAGGACGAGATGAGGAATATTTGCTGCAGACATGTTGTGATGGTAATTCTGAATTTGGTAATGAAATGCTTGGTTTGGAATTGTTGTGGAGGTAATGGGGTTGTGCGGACACAATTGCTTAGCTGAAGCCTGAAGAGGCCAGTTAGTCAACACAAACCCAAAAAAAAAAAAAAATATTAATAATTTAATTCCTAACATTTAATTGAATTGTAACTTTATTTTTGAATTTTGATTCGATTATAATTTGATTCTTGAATTTTAATTCTTGTAATTCGGTCTTTATAATTTTAATTATTTTAAATATCAATCTTTATATTTTTAAAAAATAAAAGTATGAAGATAAAAATTTTAATCTTTATAAAGATTAAAAGGATTTAGTTATTTAAAATATTAGTCATAAGTTTTAACATAATCTTAATATTTATAATTTTATATTTTACAATATTGGTACTGATATTTTAAATTTTTAAAATGATAATGATTGGATTACAATTATTTATAATTTTTTCATATATATTGTAATCCATTTTATTTTAGGGAGAGTATCACTAAATTCCTAAAAAAAGTTAATATTTTACAATAATTTTAAACAGATCTGTCAAAACAATAACTTTAATAGCTAATTAGTTAATATTTCTTAGTTCAAATTTTTTTAATAAATTAATTTTTTTTCTGTGTTCTCTTGGTATTCTTCCTTCATTGTATTGTTAAAAGTATTACTCCTTTCATTTTAAATTATAAGACACTTTGAAGGAGATTTACCGTCTCAAAATATAAAATACTTTAAAAAGATTAAGATTTCATTAATAGACTTATTTTAATATTATATTTTTCTCTTCTATTTAATACTAATTAGGTATGGATTTAAGGTTATTAAATGAAGGATATTTTTAAAAATTTATATTTTTATTTTAAAAAAATAAAATTATTAAATATATTTAATAATAATTATTGATATGTAAAATTTTATTTAATAATATTTTATAATTTAAGATGGATGGAGTATTATATTCAGTGCAATGAATGAAAGCAAATTTTTGAGTCAACGGATAAGACATGGATTGGTGAGCGATGCCGACGCACAGATACTGGGACCCCCGATTGTTGAATAATTGTAAGAGACAGGATAGGATAAGATAAGATGATAACGACAATTGGATATTATTATTATTTTTAAGAAAGATCAATTTTTTTTAAAATCCCAAATAAAATGATTTACAAACACAATTATCCAAAGTGTTGGAGCTAAAGATGTTCCTGTTTAACTTTTTCTGAGGTGCGTGACAATGTGCATTCTGCAATTATTAATCAACATAATCGTGGTTGATGCCCACACAAAAAGAAAGCTGCAATCACATAAAACATATTATTAAGTATTTACTTTTTTAATATTAAAAAAAGTTAATAAATATAGAGAAAAAGTTATAAAGATAAAGCATTACAGAGTAAAAGAACAATTTACTTTTTTTAATCATCACATCAATTACTAGTATTTACTAACTATTTATAAACCTTTATAAATAGTTTATATAACTCAATTCCCGATTGAACATCTTTATGTTTAAGACATGGTTCTCGTGCGTGGCGTGGTCTCTTTTTATGGTTTTAGTGTGTTGGGCCTCATAGCTTATCCATTTTCTTGTGCTTTATTGTTTGTAATCTTTTTACGTTGTTTCTTTTCTAAATAACACTTTTTTATTGATAAAAAAACTATTTATAAACCTCAAATTCCAGGTATATATATATTATAAAATAATATATCATAAACTATATTTAAAAATTTAGGAAAATTTAATCTACAAATTCCTTTAATTTACCTTAATTTTGAACTAATTAGATTCTTGTAATTTATTTATTCTTAATTGAGTCATTATAATTTGATATATTAGACTTGTTAATCACTAAAAGTTAAAATCCTTCAATAATTAAGAACTTTTATATACTTTTATTAAAAGATTATATAATTTTTATAACTCAAAAGCTATATAAATAGGTTATATTTTTAAATATCTTTTTACATATAGAATTTTCTAAAAAATAAATAAAAATGAAAAAATTGTATTTAATAAAATTTCTTTTTTTTGGACAAAAAATATTAAATCAAATTTTGCAAAACCGAACCTGGTGAGTTTTGTCTGAAAAAAATAAAATATAGTAGTATAAAATTATTGTCACTCACTTGTACGTAAGACCAAAGATCTTGAAAACTTGAGTAATATAATAGTGTGGAAAACATATGTGCATGTCCTTATAGTTTGCTTAAATTTTTAATCAAGTGCGTGTAGTTTTATTGTTAGAATTGAGCCCTTAAAGTTTTCAATGTCAAACCCCTCAGTCCGGCCTTTAACATGGCTAGAAATGGCTTAGTTGGCTATCAAATGCAAATCTTCTTGGATAAAATTGGATGTTTATTGAATTTTTAATACTTTGAAACTTTTTTTCAGTGAAACAAAGTATAACAGTAAATTTGAACAAATTCGAGTTTTAAACTCTGTTTACAAGAATGCTTGAGAAATTGTTAAGTTTGAAACTTAAATAAATGATAGAAATCAAGTTTCAAGTATAATAATCAAGTGGGGGAAAGAGAAAACTTCAAATATAGTTTTGAAAATTAAAATAGAGCATAAATAAGATGAGCTAGAAATGTAAAGAGTTAAGGAAAGAGTGAATGCAAACTATAATTTATTTTGGTTCAGTTTTATCCACTTGAGTCTACATTTAATTTCTAAACAACCACCAAAGATTTCTTCATTATTTTCCACAACTTTGAACCAAGCATTTGTGAGCCTTTACAACTTATCACTACACGAGTGAACTTTTGTTCTAAGAGAATAACCTATTTTGATTACAAGAAAAATCTCTTCCTTACTTTTACAATAATTTTGAATAAGTAAATCACTTAATAAGAACTCACTCTAAGAGTAGAATGTGTATAATTAAGCACTTATACTCAAATGATAAATATATAAAAGATATTGGCTCAAGAATAATAACTTTTGTAAAGTAAGAGTAATAAGAACATGAATTTCATAACTCAATCTTAATTTCTTGTTAAAGGAAGTTTTGAATGTTAGAGTGAAATAGTCATCGGACATGAGAAGAAGTCATTTACAGCTGTTGCAAGGTATGTGTATATAATAAACTAAGCAAAAAACACTTTTTCTGCAACTTACATTAAATACACTATCAGAGTCTCAAACAAATGCGTGTGAGCTGAGACAAGCATGTATTGGTCAAGGTAAAAAGGCTTGGTTCACTTATCAACTCAGGCAAGAATGTGTGAGACTAAGACAAGTGTGTATTGGATGTTTGGCAATTGTAAACTAAGACACATGAATATGCTTTGAGACAAGCAAGTTTTAACCATCTTCATCTTCAAGAACCCTAGGAGAAGCAATACTTGGCTGAAATCTATGGAAGCTTGGGTGAAGAAATTGAGCTTAGATCCTTGTGAGAATGGAAGGGATGGAATGAGCTTGGAGAGAAATGAAGAATGATGTAAGTTTTGTGGAGATTTGATAGTTATAAATGGAGATTAGGGTGTTGGAGAATGAAAAATAATGGAAAGAAAATGAAAAACAAGATGAACTCAATAGAGAGAATGGAAGAGATGGTGAAATAGGGTGGTAAATATGAATTTGGGGTATGGGACATGAATTAGAGTGTTTCCCATTAGCTAATCCTAATTAAAATAAAAGAAAATAAAATAAAAAGAAATTGTGAGGCCTTGTCACACTTGATAGGTGGCATCTTCCTATTAGCTTGTAGATGATTTCAATGTGTGTCAAATTAATCTCATATATTATTCACATTTTAAGCTGATCTAAACCACCTAATATGAAGCAAAACACGTCCCTCAGCATCAGCTTTGACCCCATGGACTTTTGACTTCATTTGCTTAATTAATGCACAAGTCACATGTCATCTATGTAACAGAAATCACATAATTCAACTAAATAATATATGATATTATGAAATCTAATTAAAGTGAAGAATTAAATTCATATTTATAAGAGAGAATTTATTAAAATAACAAAGTTATTAGCTGCACAAAATTATATAAAAATTTCCACACAAATGCAAATTAAAAATTAGGTCAAACTAGCACACTTGAGAAATTATTGACTTTTTATTTAATTACTCCTAAACTAAAATGAATTTGTAAAATCTAATTTAACTACTCTTCTTCTGCACTAAAAATAAATTTTTTCAATTTTTCTTATATATTTTATCAAAATTTCATTTTTTTGACCAAAATACCCTTAGTGCATAAAACCTAGACATTTAGGCAAATTTTCAAATCTAATACAATGTGTGTGGACTTTGGCTAATAAAACCTTAATAAATGGTCAGATAAGTGTGTAACAAATGTGTTCTATTACCCATATTGCCACACTTGTAACACACCCAACACTTTCCTTCATGAAATCTACCACAAATGTTACAGTAGGGCAATCTCCCTTACTCAATATGGATGCTAGCATTCGATGCCTGTCTTGAGGATTACGGAGGCCCATCTCTAATTTTACTACTTCTTTGAGTTGACCCCCTTTGAACAGATTGAGATTAGGATCCTTTAGCAAAACCCTTCTTTCTAACAGAACCAGAACCACCGAAACTATACCCAAGCCTCTTCGATACTTTGCTTGTTGAACCCAATAGGGATGAGAACCTCCCTAGACTATCACATCTTCTCTCAACCTCTGCCTCTCTTGGCAGCTATTCTCAGCTTGTGACACATCTCTTTATATGTGTTCACATCAAGCAAGGTAATCTGATGTCTATACTCGAGTTGCATCTTCTTTAACAACTGCTCAGCCTTCCACCTTGTGTCATTACTGTGCTGGAGGTAGGTGGAGTAGGTTGATAAGTCATTGAACTTCCTAATTAACTCTTCCTCATCCAAATCTCCCTACCTGAATGCATAAAGCTCCTCCTCTTTCCTAATTCTAAAGGATACAAGGAAGTAGTAGTCAAAAAACACCTTTCTAAATTCTTCTTATGTAAACCAGATACCACTAACTAGCCTCACTAATTCCCACCATTTCTTTGCAGCCACAACCAACTGCACTATTGCCAATATAACCTTCTACTCAAAAGTGCA